CTCAGTTTCGAGTTGGTCTTTACTCCTCCACTTAAGCTAAAGAACCCTGACGGGTTAGGCGAGAGCGGACCCAGGAGTTCCTGAGACTCTTCACATAACTCGAAACTACTCTCTATAGTCTGTGGGCACCGGTCGACGCCTCAGACTTCATACCTCTGTCGATCAACTCCATCCTTATCGTGCCCAGTCAGGGCTTCTTCCCACTTTCCTCGGGCTTAACTGCGCCCTGCTGAACCTCTTCGGTGAAGCGAATACGCGAATTGTCAGTCAGGATACATACACCGGGGGCATGGACCCATGATTCCGCCCGAAACATTTTGGACACATTGTAATAATAGTCCAAATAATTACGCAATGTTTTTAGCGCATACATTTTGAAATCATTTTGAATGTTTTAAAATGTTTTAAGCATCAACATTGCGGCACAATTTGGATAGCATTCATAAAGATGGAAGAATGAGACCCCAATGCTGCGAATGACAGCATTCAAGCATTATTGTGATAGCATCCTAAATGTTTCTTGGGAGAAAATCTCAAATGATACCTGTGAGTGGCCATGATGTCTTCAAGATGTTCCCAATGGGTTCATTGTGATCGCATAATTGTTATTACTATATATAGTAATGTGCTAACCATATTAGGACATCCCTGATGCGTTCAAGATGATTCCAGCCGGCACATGATGGAAAGCATCTGGTACTCATCGTAACATCACATTGATCACATTTGTAATGTACCCTTAAGATCCATTCAAAATGATACCAATATATTATATGAATGCTGGCCGGAGCAAAATCATTGTCTCATCCTGGTGTCTTTCTGAATAATATTACTATTATTCCACAATGAGCTCACTCGAGATAATTCAAATTATTCCATGATGTTTACATCAGTAACATTAGAGTTACATTGCGACTGTTATTGTGATGTGTCCAAAATGTTCCCAGCAGAATCATGGGCTCATGCCCCCGGTGATAGGCCCTAAACCAGCCTCCTGCGAAAGTGGGTGACATACTACAGTCCCAAACCTTTGCCGCGACCCCAGGCGTAAGGGGATTTCCTACACAAACCTAGTGGTTAAAACCGCATCAGGGCTGTCAAGAAGGGCCAGGAGTGCCTGTTGATGTCAGCACCTCTAGGGGGAAAGGACGCAGTACTCCTTAAAAGGGTACCGATATCGAGTACGCCGCAGCAACGAGGCAACTCCTGTATTGGACTGACCAGCGGGGTAATCTGACGTTCGGTTCTGCTAGTCCATATAAACAATCCTCGGCCTAGCTGCCATGCTATACGGAGGATTTATCCTCTAATGTCGCTATCCTAGCCACCAGGTCTAGAGGTAGCAGACGTAACAACCGCAGACAAGGGAGAACTTGCGGGAGGAACGAGTCACCTTTGAAAAGGCTCTGAAGCTGTAAATCAGCAACACTTCTGGACCGCTTTGGCGAGACCTGCACAACCTCGAGTAGTGAGGAAATAAACCTACTTGCTCAGTGCTAAAGCGGCATCAGACGCGTATTCAACCCCTGCGCAGTTCTGACTTACTTAGGGGTTTAGTTACCAGTACCTACGTAGACAAATAGTCGTTTGGCGTGGGACGAACTCTCGGAAAGCTCTGCTGGAACGGCAGGTGGACCAAGGTTACATCCCTTCAGAGGTAGTTGGACACTGGTGGTGAAATAATCAAAGACCACAAAGACCCCTCTGCGACTGCGAACCGCGCCACTCAGGACTCCGTAGTAACTAGACCTACCAGGAGTAGCAGGACTCTAAAGCTGCGTCTGGGTCATTACAAGGCCCTGGTGAAGAACAACTCATCAAGCACGCGAGTAGATTACAACATCGAATGCAAAGGTTCTCATTGGAAGGATATACATCTATATACACCGTATCTCCAGGACCAGTAGAGTGGGATCAAGTTTACGAGCACCTCAGCATCATCTTTCGGGCAGACTTCATCTACCAACCTCACATCGCCCAAGCTCATTTCATCCTCTACCGTTACCAAGTCATCATCGACTACTACGAAAGGCTCGAATACCAGCTGCACCGTATAGTCCAGGAATCTCCCGGACCACTACAAACCGTAGAAGACGACCAGGAGTTATACCACCTCCTGTTTGACGAAGAATACGGTATCTCCTCCGACGAAGAAGAACCTTTCTGAACAGGTTGTCAAAACCCCGACCAGGTACCAGCACCGAACATGGCCGAAATCGCACAATCCGAACATTCCGTGGAAGGACATCTAAATCCCGAAGGCCCAGTACCCCGGGCATCCACTCCGTCTTCGTTCAACAACACCAACATCCTCGCACCCACTCCCCGATACTTCATGACACCAGCAATGCTAGAAGTGCTCCCCAGGAGGAGGGGGCCTTCAGCCCGATTAGTAGAAGAATTCGCCACCTTGTATCCCGACGAACTAAGAACAGGGAGGCGATTCCATCAGTGGGAGTACGATATCTGAGCTCGAGATCATTCCGAAGAAGATCGACAGCGATATCGGACACAACCAATAGATGTGGTGGCGAGACACGGAGGAGCGGCAAGGAGACAGGACTACGTCTGGTCCAGCCACGATTCAGGAACTCCACCAGGGTATGAGCGATACAGGTTCCCTGACAATAGGCAGAGTTACTACCTGGCACGACCTGGCCTTCCCCCACCGACGGAAGAAACCCCCAGATTCTGGACTCAACCTGTGGATATGCACCGTGCTTACACGCACCTCCAAAATGACTACAATCATCTACACAGCAGACTCGATGCTGCACGAAGGGAGGTAACGGAAGCACGAGAAGGACGCCTGGCTGCCAAAGCAACCCGAGATCGCCTAATGAGGCAAGTCAAGGAGTATGAGGCCGCACGAACAGAGCGCGGCAACCAGATCCACAAACTAACAATGGAACTGGAAGCCTTCAAGAAAGCGCTCAAATCCAGTGAAGAAAGGGTGAAGGGTCTGGAAGAGATCAACAAGACCCAGGAAACCTGAATCAATCTCCTGGAAGCCATTCGACGTCTGCCTCCACCTTCTCCAATTCGATCACCCAAGAAACCGGTCGATAAGGGCAAGAGAAGGCAAGACCCCGGTCAACAGGATATTCGGGATTGGGTAAAGGGAGTCGGCGGAACCGCCGGCCCTAGTGGGCTCAAACCGGCACACCAGGCAAACCCTGAGCAGCCGCCCTCTAGGGTGCAGACGCCCCCAATGTCCCCGGCACACTCCTACGAGGGAGACCAAGATGACGAATTGGTGGGAGCGCACTACGCATTCCCTCCAGAGCAACCGGTTCCCCCACCAGATCGGGATCGTTGCTCTGCAGCCCCGCCGCCAGCATCCTCGGACGAAGTACATAGGAAATCGTTCCGAGGACCAAAGGTCAACCTCCCGGAGCCATTCGACGGCACCAAGGCAAGGCAAAGGCATGGCTTGTCGATGTAATGAATTACATTGTCATGAAACCTAGCGAGTTCGAAGACGAACAAAGTAAAATTCGCTGGGCAATGTCTTACATTCGTGGGCCACAAATTGACCACTGGAAAGCCTCCCTTCTAGAAAGAATGATGGGAGGCCCACCGGTATATGCCATGCTCCAGGACTTCATCACGGACTTCAAAAAGATGTATTACCCCGCGAATCTGGAGCTGGAAGGTCAACGAATGCTGCGAAACATGCAGCAATGGTACAAGCCTTGGGAGGAATTCGAAGCTGAATGGGAGCATTGGGTCAAGGTCTCAGGGTACAAGGATGAGCAGCTGTTGCTCCAATTGCTTAGGACGGCCATGAGAAAAGAACTCTGCGACAGAGTATGGGCGTCCGAAGGAATCAGCCGGGACGTCAATAGCTACAGCCTGTGGAAGCAGGTTGCAGCCCGGCTGGACCTTCAACAGCAGCAGCAATGGGCATCCACCTTTGAGGACCGAAAGGGCAAAGGGAAAGCCAAGGACTCCAAGACCCGACAAGTCCACCAAGAGGAAGGTTCTACAACGGCAACGGTCAACGCGGTTAGGACAACGGGAAGGGCGCCCATCAGGAATGTCGATGAGGCAGGAAAAGCGGTGCCACACAAGGAAACGGTAGGCGTCGAGAACGAACGCGACAAACACCGGAAGTGTGGTACATGCGGAAAAGAAAGGTCGGAGAAAGGGTCGTGCATGGATATATGGCACACCCATTACTACGACGGAAAGGCACAGTGCTGGTGCAAGAAGGATGCCCAGCCTGCAGCTCGGGCCAGTACGGTAGAAGAAACCGAGGCCGTACGAGCATTCAAGGCGGCCATTGCGGCCAACCCCGCTCTGCTCAACCAGGCGGGTTTTCAATTCGGCAAGGCTTAAGTACGCAAGTCTTGCAGGACTCTCGACTCGATCTGGACATTTCTGTTTCCCCGACCAGTAACGTGCATTCCTCGGTGGTGGAGGCCCAAAAGCCTGAGAAGCGCCCTGGTTTACATGGGTCACCCCTGACCACTAACGGCCATTCCATGGTCACGGAGGTCACGAGACCTGAGAAGGGCCATGGTTTAGACGGGTCACCAAAAGGTAGGTCCCCAGGGAGAGTCGAGCTGATGGTGGTAGAGGCAAAGCCTGAGAAGCGCCATCAAGCCATACCTGAAAACACCCTGGAGGGATGTGGGCAGGAGGGTCTAAGCTCAGAGGGAAAATTCAGTACCCCTGATGCAGACGACAGCACACCACCACACCCTAGCGGATCTCGATTTTCTATTTTTTCCTCTCTCGACTGTACCACTAGCACTACGTCAGACAATATGCGTACAAGTAGTGGTGCCCACTCTAATGTAACAGTAGTAGGAGCGAAAACGGGGTCTCGGGATGACGGGACCTTAGTGGTGCCTGATCGAGCTCGGCCGGATCAAGAAGCATCGGTGCTTAATTCCGTGAATAGCTCAATTTCTAACATTTCTTCGGTTCAGGACAGTCTGCAAGTGGAAGCTTCGACATCGGCAAGGCGTACACCGAGGAAGAAGGCACAGAAAACCACCTTGCATGTATTTTTAGACCACCCGCAAGCCATCGTACCCACCCGCCAAACAGAAGGCGTGGCAGGGTATGATCTGCATTCAGCGGAGGAAGTGGTCATTCCCGGACGCTCCCGTCTTCTCGTAGATACCGGCTTGAAGTTGATGATACCCAGCGGATGCTACGGGCGCATCGCTCCACACTCAGGCTTGGCTGTAAAACATGGAATAGATGTAGGAGCCGGAGTAATAGACTCTGACTATGTCGGTCGAGTCAAAATACTCCTAATCAATACCCTTGAAACCCCGTTCCAGATTGAGTATGGGGACCGAGTCGCCCAGCTAATCTTGGAACGTAACGATACCCCCATCACCGAAGTCGTGACAGAGATAGCAGAAACAGCAAGAGGGACTGCTGGATTCGGATCGACCGGTACTAAACTGCGAGGACAATTCAACGTCCGAGCAGTACGACGACATCGCCAGATCGATATACCTGTAACAATAGAAGTTGGGGATAGGAATATACCCGCCAAAGCCCTCCTAGATTCAGGTTGCACCGGATGCTGCATCGACGAACAATTCGTATCTAAGTTCCAGATACCTAAGATACCGTTCGATCGACCACTCCGCGTATTCAACGCAGATGGGACCCCCAACCGAGACGGCGATATGACACACTATGTATTATTAGATATAGTTATCCAAGGCCATAGAGAGCGCCGATCATTCAATGTGACCACCCTGTCGGACCACGATATGTTCCTCGGGTTCGACTGGTTGGAAGATCACAACCCTGACATCGACTGGGCTAAATGCACGCTTCGCTTCACGCGTTGTAACTGCGGGGAGCTTAAGTTGGAAGATGGGGATAAGGTGCTAGCATTGGACAGCGATTATATTCGGAAACAGTTTTCCGAACACGAACATACACGAGCCACCAAGGCCACTGACCTAGCCATCGCTCAAGGCAAAAGTACTAAAGCCAAGAGCATGCAAGAGGTAGTTCCAGAAGAATATTGGGATTACAAGGAAGTCTTCGAGGAAGCTGAATTCGATCAGCTACCAGAACGCAGGATATGGGATCACGCCATAGAACTAGTAGACGGCGCGAAACCTTTCTGTGGAAAGGTATATCCAATGAGCATAAAAGAACAAGAAGCTCTGGATATATTCCTCGAAGAAAACCTAAAGACTGGTCGCATCCGACAGTCTAAATCCCCCTGGGGCACCCCCTTCTTCTTTGTCAAGAAAAAGGATGGCAAGTTAAGGCCAGTTCAGGACTATAGACGGCTCAATGAAGTCACAAAGAAAAACAAATACCTGCTCCCTCTAATCAATGATCTATTCGACCGGCTTAAGGGAGCCCGGTACTACTCTAAGCTCGATATCTGGTGGGGCTATAATAACATACGGATCAAAGAAGGAGATGAGGAAAAAGCCGCGTTCGTCACGAACCGAGGTCTATTTGAACCTCTAGTGATGTTCTTCGGACTCACTAATTCACCATCAACGTTCCAAATGATGATGAATGATATCTTTCACGATCTAATCCTCACTGGAAAAGTTATGGTATACCTGGACAATATCTTAATATTCACCAAGGACATGGAAGAACATCGCCAGGTTGTAAAACAAGTACTTAAAATACTCCGGGAGCACAAGTTAACGTGCAAACCTGAAAAGTGCGAGTTCCATGTAGAAGAAACTGAGTACCTAGGTCACATCATTGGCCATGGGAAACTTCGCATGGATCCTGCAAAGGTTGCTGGCATTGCAGAATGGCCAGAACCCAGGTCCAAGAAGGACGTTCAACAGTTCCTCGGATTCTGTAATTATTATAGACGTTTTGTAAAAGGCTTCAGCTCCTTGGCCAAGCCTCTTTCGGACCTTACGGGCAACCGAGAATGGGAATGGACGGACACTGAACGAAGTGCCTTCCAAGGTCTCAAGGACCTCCTTACATCGGCCCCAATTGTACACATACCTACGGACGAGGACCCGTTTATGGTAGAAGTAGATGCTTCGCAATTCGCCCTCGGGGCAGTTCTTATGCAGAAGCAAGATAATCTTTGGGTACCGGTATCTTATTATAGTAGGTCGTTCAAGGACGCCGAGAAGAACTATCAAGTGTACGATAGAGAACTTCTCGCTATTGTAGATTGTCTAGAGGAATGGCGACACTACCTAATACACGCCAAGCATACTGTACAAATCTTCACTGATCACCTTAATCTGACATATTTTAGGAAGCCCCAGAAGATCAACCCTCGCCAAGCACGATGGATGTCTTTCCTCGGTGAATACAATTTCGAACTCCATCATATCCCAGGCAAGAAAAACAGTGCAGCGGACGCTCTTAGCAGACGACCAGACTATGACGACGGTATGGATCACTTGGACAATCAGGTCGTATTACCTGCCGAGTTATTCCGAAGTACCAAAGTTGTAGGGACAGACGCCATCCGTGACCTCTGCGCTACACACTCTTCCAAATATTTACTATGGAAAACTTTGCCTCAAAAGGAGCTCGAGTCAGCCGAGGACGGCACACTCTGGAGGGGGGGTGAAATTCTCATAATCTCAAATAACCAAGAAATAATCGGCAAAGTAATACAATCCCACCACGATGCCGCGTTCATGGGACACCCAGGAATAGAAAGGACCATGGAATTAATCAAGCGATCGTACTGGTGGCCGGAGATGATCAAAGATGTTACAGCGTATGTGAAAAGTTGTGGGACCTGCCAAAAGGCCAAACCTAACCGCCAACACAGATCAGCACCATTAGAGCCAAACCCAGTTCCAGATCATAACTGGCAGTACATCTCCATGGACCTTATTGTAAAACTACCTACTGTAGACGGGTACGACTCCATCCTTGTATTTGTAGACTTGAAGTCGAAAGACTTCATAGCTATACCCTGCACGGAGTCGATTAACTCAAAAGACTATGCGGACTTGTACATTAAGCACGTAATGTCGGCACACGGACTAGCAGAAAGGATATGGTCCGACAGAGGACCACAGTTCGTATCCTCGTTTACTAAGGATGTATATCAACAGTTGGGCATCCAGGGAAATCCTTCTACTGCCTACCACCCTCAGACAGATGGGCAGACTGAACGGATGAACCAGGAAATAGAGACCTACTTAAGGATATATACCTCCTATAGACAGGACGACTGGCCATCCAAAATACCCCTCGCTATGTTCGCATACCGAAACCATAGACAAGCAAGTACCAGCTATACCCCATTCTACCTTACTCATGGATACCATCCCTACACGGGAGTCGAAACCAGGAAAGAACCCCGCAACCAATCGGCCGAAGAATGGACGAAGGAGATGGAGGAACTTTCCAAGGACGCAACTAATCACCTTACCAAAGCAAAAGGTATAATGAAAAAGTACCACGATGGCAAATACCCGGACCATGCAGCCTATATCAAGGGCGATCTGGTACTACTAGAAGGAACTAATATTACGACTACTCGACCAAGCAAGAAGCTGGACGATAAACGTTATGGACCATTTAGTATAGTAGAAAAAGTCGGGAAGTCGGCGTTCAGACTCAAGCTTCCACCCACTTGGCGTCATATACACCCCGTCTTCCACGAATCCTTATTAATACCCTATCACCCCACGCAATTTAGTGTACAAAGAGACGATACTACTATACCCGTTCCGGAAGGCGAACCCCCCACCATTAGCCAAATCCTCGACAGTAAAAAGTCCAAAACTGAACTACTATACCTGGTCAAATGGAAAGGGAAGGACGACACCGAGAACACTTGGATACCCCGCTCTACCATAGCAAAGGATTATATCCTATTACTTAATAACTTCTATAAGTTACATCCCAAGGCGCCCAAACCGCCTAATCTCCTCACTATACCCGGTGGTCAAAGGATCCGCGCTCAAGGAGGCGAAGAAAGCGACGATGAACCTGACAGTAAGGGAGGAAAGATGACGGAGCAGGAAGAAGAAGAGTGGAAGGAAAAGATCTACTGGGATCACAAAATGATACGATGGTACAAGCGCAAGTTCCAAGCCCATGTCGTACTTCACGTACCCCTCGATACCCCAATCGGCCTAGAAATAGGGATACCTGAGAAGTTCGACATCGTTTGCATCTGGCTAGCGAACCCAGACCATTATATCCATACGGTCTTATTCGTCGGAACCCCCAAATCACGTAACCATCTATTCGTATACCCAGTCAACGCCCAGTGGATAGTAGAAGAAGGAAAGGTCCAGTGCCCGGAGCGTACTCATGGCTACTATTACCTCGACGATGCACCAATACCCTGGCAACGTATGCGTTTCAAAGATACCTCAGTGAAGGAAGAGGACGTCTCCACTTATACCACATATGACCCGGAACGTACTCGGATGCCAATACCCAAAACCAAATGGAACCTACAAGCCGTACACCCGCGCATCTACGACTAGACTTCAAGCCTCGTGAGGACACTTCGGCCTGGAGGGGGGGTACTGTCACGGTTTTTCCGCACCACAAGTCTCAAGCACCCAC